GAATTCCAAACTGCTACAGTTACAGACAGAAAGTAAATGGCAAATAACAATAGAAAGGAGATCACAGTTTGCAAAGCTTTTATGTGGACCTGGGTGCTGGGATCTTGGGATCCTTCACCATGGAGCTGCATCTTCTTGAGATGTTTACACAGGGAACCGATTAACAGCAGAAAACACATAAGGGATATTGTGAATTGTGTGGAGTTTGCTAGCGTGAATGAAATCATATTCAAACGGTGTGCAATGTTCCACCACTGGATCTTCCAAGTCGCGTTTTCTTCATATTGTTTTATCCACACACTCTCATCTCTGTTTGCCACAACAAGATGACAAACCAAAAACACCAAAGTCCCCAGCTGTACGACCAGAACAACACTCTTAACTCTTTTCTTTAGGTAAAGAAAAATAAGGTTGGAGAAACTGGCAATCTTGAGCAAATAAAGCATGCTGAGGCTAGTAGCAAGCCACACGCGAAAATGGTTGGTTACTATCCAGGCAGCATGCAAAGTAATTCTTACTTCTATACTATATAAAGCTGGATTAAACACAGTTGCAGAACAACTTATTAACATTACCCAGAGCAAATCAACTCTGGACACTGACAGAGCAGTAAGAATTAGATCAGCTGAGGGTATCTTTTGTCTCTTGACCCTGTCAATGAAGTTCACAAGGGCTATGAAGCCATTGGCAAAATTTCCAAGTACAAATTCAATCATTAGTACAATCAAAAAAATGATCGATAGTAGACTTATTATGTCTGAACAAAAAGAGAAAAAGAAAATGCAGACCTAATATCACTAGTCATGATTCCTTTAATATCCTGACCTTAAATTCTCTATGTACCTGATTTCTGAATGTGCAGTAATGCTCTTGTTTCCTTTATTTTCTGGGACCAACATGGAGCAGGAAAGCACCAGAGGATGCTAATGAATGAGGTCAAGGCTGTCTTTATGAAAAACATAACAAAACATTCCCAAAACAGCTCAAATCAACTCCTACTCATACACTGTATATCTGGGCCACAGGCTGAATGATTCATAGCTGATATTGAAGTGAAAGTTGCATTCTCATTTGCTAG